TCCATTCCTTCCATCCATCCATCCATCTATCCATCCATCCAACCCATCCATCCGTCCATCCATCGTCCATACATCCAATCCATCCATCGTCCATCCATCCATCGTCCATCCATCCATTCCTTCCATCCATCCATCCATCCATCCATCCATCCATCCATCCATCCATCCATCCATTCATCCATCCATTCCATCCATCGTCCATCCATCCATCCATTCCATCCATCCATCCATCCATCCATCCATCCATCCATCCATCCATCCATCCAAATTTGGTGTATTTAATAGTAGCCATTTCAATACTATATAGAGAAAAAATCATCAAAATTAATAAATCTTTGGAAGATCACATTTATTTAACCATGGCAAATGTTAATTTTTCATCTCTGTTTTTTGTGTTTATTTAAAATTAGGCAAATCTGATATTGTTTTAATCTTATATCTGCTATTTAACAGTTGAGACAGTTCTTTAATGCTGATCTAACCAGAAAAAGACACTAGCCGGGTTTAAATGGGGGCATGTTGTCACACTGCGTTACAATGAGCCCCTATTAGAACTATTATATTCTATACTTCAATGACTTCTATTGAAAAACAATGATAAAAAGTCAATAGAGTCAATGTTCATATATGATTAATTATTATGTTTTGAACTTTGCTTTATAGCTGTGTTTTGCAGTGTGTTTGTTGTCAAACTCAAAAATTACCATTATTTTACATGAAAAGTTAATAATTGTATTTCGTTTACAGAATATTTTAGTTTGTCTTGTATATACATTTTGAACAGGTGTCTCCTACGGGGCATGTTGTCACATTTAACTTTTATTGTTTCAGGGTTAATCAGGAAGAATAAAACCCACTGTATTAATGAAACAAAATCATAGAATTGTAGACATGTGTAAACATTAATGTGTGGTATTACTCCGAACCCCAAGGTGAATTTACCCAAACTGAGAAAGTCAAAAAGTGTTAGTTTGTGCCTCGCTCTCCTCTACTTGAATGAAGCTTAAAACGAGAAGTCTCTGACGAAAGAACAACCTCAAAGCAATAACATTTTCGTGCGGGCAACCCTGAGGCTGCATTTTCCTCCTGCTCCATTTACACAGGCTGGTGTTTACCGAAGCAATTCAGGTTAAGTGCTTTTGTTGAAGGGCACAGCTGCCCCATTCCCACCTGGGAAAAGAGGTAATGCAATCATCATCTCCTTGCCAAGCTATAGATGCAAAGTGAGCGGTATGCTTCGTTCGCTGAAAGCGCGAGTTCTTCAGAAGACGGTGGTGACGTGGCTTTAGTTCCCCCCTCCTGCCCCTCTAGCGCTGAAGACAGTGGAGATAATTGCGTATTGATAGCCGAGCTGTAATTAATGGTGATGAGCTTAGAGGCGATGCTCTGCTCCGGGTCCCATCCAAACGCAGGCCGGGATCGAGCCAAAGGCCTCATGTTGTGTCGGGCTGCTCCTCTTGAATCTGTGGCACAGTTTGATTCGGTAACTGCACTGAATTAAATGGTCAATAGTTCAGGAGGTGCTTTGGAAAGATGAAGTCAGGCCTGTTATCGATTCCAGAAATCGATTTATTTGTCATTGACGAGATCTCGGAAAGGTACAGCTGGCCTGATCGACTACATGTTGGTTTTCTTTGATTTCTTTGTTTTGTACTTTATTAAGCCTTCAGTTCAATGCAATTGTGTTTGCATTCATTCCACATAAATTAATAATAATAATAACTATATATCTTATCATATATCTGCATACCTATATCTGTATAATATATACACTCTCAGAAAAAAAGGTACAAAAGCTGTCACTGGGGCTGTACCTTTTCAAAAGGTAAACTTTTGTCCATTTTAGGTGCAAATATGTACATTTCAGGTGCTAATGTGTGCATTTTAGGTGTTAATATGTACATTTTAGGTGCTAATATCTGTACATTTTAAGTGTTAATATGTATATTTCAGGAGCTAATATGTCCATTTTAGGTCCTAATATGTATAATATGTACATTTTAAGTGCTAATATGTACATTTCAGGAGCTAATATGTCCATTTTAGGTGCTAATATGTCCATTTTAGGTACTAAAGCCCCAGTGAAAGCTTTTGTACCTTTTTTTCTGAGAGTGTATGTATGTATAATCTGTATATAATATATATATAATATATACCTATATCTATATACCTCATCATATATCTATATACCTTAATCATATATATATATATCTCTATATCTTTACTTTTCCACTCCCAGTACTGTGAATTTACATCAGGGGCCGAAAACTTTCCAGAAGTCTTAAAATGAGATCTGATCTGTTAATTTAGGATTTTTATCCTGATTGTCTTACAAAAACATCTTCTAGTTAGGAAATCTGAAATGGCTTCATCGAGTAATAATCATCTCTTAGGTCGACGGGTTCAGCAGTTTCTGTGAAGTAAAACGCTTGATTAAAATGGAGGAACAATAATAAAGTGCTGCAGAAAAATACAATTTTGTAAGCTTGGTAGAAAAGCATATCACTGTATTTCTTTGGCATTTGTTATCATTTATTAGTGTTTAGTCTGTAAATATGCAATGAACACTACTTAAGTGCAATATATACGAATCAGGGTGTGTGTTGTATGCGGAGAATCATGTTAATAGAGACACTACGTTTCTCAGAGGGGGTAAAACCAGCATGGGGCAAAAGACACATTAGGAAGCCTACTGATACAAATATTTCAGCTAAAATAATATGGATTTAATATTGTATAAATTATTATTGTATACTATTGTATAAAGTTGTTTAATAATAAATAGGATGATTTTCTTGAAGGTGGACACCCAGATTAATTTACAATATTTATAATATTGACATTATTCCAAATATCATACTTTTACATATTCTTCCGTTATTGAAAACTGTTGCTTTGATTACCTTGAAAAAACCTGAAAATCATTAAGACGACATTAGTCTCAAAATATGGTCAATAATTTTAGCAATTGTTAATTGCTACTTAAAGGGATAGTTCACTTTGAAATTAATTTTTGGGATGTTTTAGCTCATCTCAAGGGCATCCAAGATGTAGGTGTCTTTGTTTCCGCAGTAGTTTCAATTTTGATATTTTTAGGTCAAACCGTTTGTGTCTGTCAGTCATATAATGGAGGTCTATGGTCACCACCTCAAAGAGCATGCACAGAAAAGTCCAAATTAAACATGATTTAATGACTAAGTACACATTGATGGCTTAAGACACGAAACGAGCGGTTTGTGTGAGAAAACGAACAGTATTTATTTCTTTTTTACCTTTTGTAACCACACACTGTAAAAAAATCGTGTGTTTTTTACGGAATAATGCTGGCAACTTTGGTTGCCAGAACAATTCTGTAAAAAATACATTAAAATTGTAATCACCTTAACAGTAATAAACCGTAATCACTTTTACAGTATCTCTAAAAAATGCTGGGTTGTTTTAACCCAACTTTGGGTCAAATATGGACTAACCCAGCCATTGGGTTAAATTTTTACATTACATTTTTAACCCAACATTTCGGGTTTGTCCATATTTGATCCAAAATTGGGTTAAAACAACCCAGCATTTTTTAGAGTGTAATAAACCGTATTTCATTTCAATGAAAAATTTATTTCTATTTTGTACCATTGTAATACACTGACAACCATTTTCATGAGTTTCATGAGCAATCAAAGCCCGACAGAAGTAAATGTAAAATGAAAAAATGTAACCCAATGGCTGGGTTTGTCCATATTTAACCCAATGTTGGGTTAAAACAACCCAGCATTTTTAGAGTGCCTATGATTTAACGTTTTTTTGTATTAGAATAATTAAAATAAATTGCAGCTTAGGTGCCATTTGTTTTTTAGTTCTGTGACCTGCTTGATTTAAAGATCTATAAATGTCAGAGTTCATGTATATTTAAATTTTTTTTGTCTGATCATGTATCACTCTAAAAAATGCTGGGTTGTTTTAACCCAACTTTGGGTCAAATATGGACAAACCCAAGTGTTGGGTTAAAAATGTAATGTAAAAATTTAACCTAATGGCTGGGTTTGTCCATATTTGACCCAAAGTTGGGTTAAAACAACCCAGCATTTTTAGAGTGCAATACGATTTGAGGGACAGTTTACAGTTTATGTTAAATACATATACATAAATACAAATGTTCTACATCAGAGTTATTTACCTATCATTTCCCTCTGATTTTAGGGATAAGTTATGGGCAGGGTTAGGTGTACACTCTAAACAATGCTGGTGTAACGCTGAGGCAAGGACGAATCCAAATGCAGTCACTAATTTTAATAATGAAAATCAAACAAAAGGGTAATCCAAGGAAAACAAAGAAACTCAGAAACAGGAACTCAGAACAAAGCTACATACAAACAACGACCGACACCCAACAACTGAAGAACAGAGGTTTAAATTCACAGACAAACAAGCTAAACAAGGGAACAGGGGGGTGTGGCTAATCAGGAACACTCATCAACAAGAAAAACTACAAAGGACTACAAAACATGGCACGGAACAGGAAATAACTAAAGTCCACACAAGACACGAAAAACCCAAATGTTGGGTTAAAAATGCAGTTAAAAAATGTATGAAAGTTGAAGTTGGGTTAAAATTAGAAATTACATTTTGGGTTTGTCCATATTTTACCCAAATTTGGGTTAAAACAACCCAGCATTGTTTGGAGTGTATTCACAATAGTCTTTTTGAATCAAAGCATTGCTTTAGTAATGAAGTCGAGATCTCAAAGCTGTACATTAGCACTGAAATGTTGCAGTGGATTCATCCCTGGTGTGTACAGATATCTGGATGTGATACGTCTGGACTGGTGTGTATCAGCTAATGTGTGTGTGTTTGTGTGCCCGTGGGGGACAGAGCTGTGTGAGAGTGATGGTCCGTGTCTGCAGGACTGCAGTGAGGACAGTGTCAGCGTGACTGATGGCGGCCGCTCGGAGACAGGCTGTGTTGGAGCTAGCGGAGCGTGTAATGAACGCTAACTCACTCTCAGCGGTTCCTCTTCCTCACATCCCGGTACAGTTCTCCTGGGCCAGGTACACACGCTGAATGCAGAAGTGTGTTTTAATGAGCTGTCGTGTGTGTACGACTGCTTTGCTCATCCTATCAGAGTTTAGAGTTCGAGAGTGATATCTATTTTATGAGTCGTTGTAACTCGAGTGTTTCATAATCTGAAGATTCAATTCACATTTATTTGTATAGACCTTTAATACACATCATTTCAAAGCAGCTTTACGGAAAATACAGTACATGAGTCCACGTTAAAATTTAGTAGTCATCATCATACTCATACCTAGCCTGAGTTTCCCTATACTGCATAGATATCCATAACAAAGGTTGGATGTCTCGTCCGCGCTGCTGGCCAATGGAGGTCGACATCCACACTGGCGGCCATCTTGCCACAGTCAGCTCGCTCACTCGTAACATTGTGTTTTAATGGTGTATGTACTTTTTAAATAACCATAACTTGCTCAATTTTCAACCGATTTTCATTTATAAATGTCCAAAATGTAGTCATGACACTGCATACTTATGAATAATAAGTGTATAAATAAATAATCATCCATAGTCATAGCCACGTTAATAACGTTTGTAAGAAACCAAACCGTTTGTAAATTCGTCAAGATTTCAACGAGAAAAGAGTATTTGTGTTCGTGCTGATCAGCCTTCTGATGCCAGAAAGCTTGCCTGTGACAAGATGGCCGCCGATGATGTCGATCTACATAGACATATACACTAGACCTCACCTTGGGGTTTTAAGCATGCGTCAAAACCGCCGCCATCTTGGAACAGGGGTGTTGTCATAGGAAGTAGCTAGGTAACGCTGCTATCTCTGCCTTTACTTCCAATTCATTGATGGTGGCGGACTTTTGTGCAGCGTATGATGTTCACGGATGAAATTTGAACTCGGAAGAATGTTTAAAAAAAAATAAATAAATAAAATTTCTTTCTGGAATCAATGATAAATACATGTCTGACTATTGGAACAAACCAAAAAAACAAGAAAAATCGCATTCATGATGATTTATGGTGATTTTATTTCCGTTAGACCTGTGTCTACTACTTTGACGATGATGCATTAAAGGGTTTGTTCACCCAAAAATTAAAATTCTGTCAGTATTTACTCACCCTCATGTTGTTTCAACCCCGTAGGACCTTCGTTCATCTTCGGAACACAAATTAAGATATTTAAGATATTAAGATCGCTCCTGCATACAGTCCATAGGCTTCTTGAGGGACTGGCTCTTGCTGTCCCCGAAAAGTCATTAAAGACATCGTTAAAATAGTCCAAGTGACTACAGGGGCTCAATCTTAAGTTTATCAAGCGACGAGAACACTTTTGTGCGCAAAAAAACAACAAAAATAACGACTTTATTTCAACTATTCACTTCCTTCTCCATGAGCCTGTAAGTCAGTTAACGTAGTGTGATTGCGTAGAGCTACGTCACACGTAGGCTCACTATTGGCCGACGCTGGTCATGTGTGTGACGCGTGTGACGTACAATAACAGAAGCTTACGCTATTAAACTAGTAACCTGACTCGCGCAGAGGGAGAAATAAACGAATAGTTGAAATAAAGTCATTATTTTTGTTGTTTTTTTGTGCACAAAAGTGTTCTCGTCGCTTGATAAACTTAAGATTGAGCCCCTGTAGTCACTTGGACTATTTTAACGATGTCTTTAATGACTTTTCGAGGACAGCAAGAGCCAGTCCCTCAAGAAGCCTATGGACTGTATGCAGGAGCGATCTTAATATCTTAAATATCTTAATTTGTGTTGCGAAGATGAACGAAGGTCTTACGGGGTTGGAACAACATGAGGGCGAGTAAATACTGACAGAATTTTCATTTTTGGGTGAACTAACCCTTTAAAGTGGAGGGGCTCCCCTGTTTCAAGATGGCGGCTCTATTGAAGCATTCGAACTGCCGTAGCCAAGGTGAGGTCTAGTGTATATGTCTATGGACGATCTATAGCCTTTATTATGGATATCTATGGTCTGGAGACCCTGGACCAGATTTTCGCCTCAGCGAGGGGACCAATCACACAATGGGGAGGGAGCAGTAAAGCTTTTTACTCAAGTAATGAAGCCGTGTACTCTGTCCGCCTCTGATTATAATATAAAACATGAAAAATAAAAGTGTCAGTGTTGCTTTCATTTAGAATTACAACTTCAGTTTCAACTATAAATAGGCTCTTCTTTTAATTGTGGAGTGAACAGGAGAAGATTTCACATCAAAGAAGGCGGAGCCTCACTTATTACATCATTAGTTCAAAAGTGTGTACCAGCCGGAAAGGAAGTTTGCTTTAAACTCCCGAAACAAGCTTCAAATGAACTTCGGCCTGATTTTGACCGGCGTCACACCAGTGTTTCGCTTGAAGTATACGTATTAGTGGCCTTGCATGTCAATCAAGTCTTGGTTGTCCAGATTATGTAGACAAGACTTCATATCAGTGGTCAAACATCTTGCTAAATAATTTTCTCCTCTGCTTGTCTCCTCTAGTGTGTGACCTTGTGACACGGGAATGGTGGGCTCCCCGTGACGCTTCATGCTGGTGGGTGTCCTTCAGTCCCAGATGGCTCCCATATGGTTGAACGCACCTTTAGCTTCTGTGATTGATAAACACCCTCACGGTACACACTTCACCCTCTTCCTTGCATATTCACTCAGTATGTTCTTGTTCTAACACACACACAATCTCTGTGGGGACTATCCATTGACGTAATGGTTATATACTGTTCAAATTGTACATTCTGTCCCCTTTCACTAACCCTACCCATCAAACACAAACACACACACACAGTGGTTGATTCTTTTCATAAGCGTCCTTGCTGCATTGGCAGGTTTGCGTGATGAATAGTCGAGCGCTTGTCATTACCCGTGGTGTGCGTTCTGTTCTCCGAGCGCGTTTTAAATACAGCTTGCGTCAAGTCAAAAGGTTCCTCCATTCATCTGCAGTCACCAGCCCTGCGAACTGCTGCATTGGGAAGAAATTGTGCAAAGGAGGCAGAGACCACATTATGAGCAGCAGAATATATATGATGTGGTGCGAGCAGCAGGAAATAGGGGGAGTAACTAACTAACTAACTAACTAAAATAAACGACTTAACTCAGACTTAACCAGAGACTATTTATTTAGAGACATGCCACTTCGTCAAACCTTAAAGGGATAGTTCACCCAAAAATGAAAATTGAGGGTGTATTCACACCTGCCTTGTTTGGTTCGATTGAATCGAACTCTAGTTCGTTTGCCCGCTTGGTGCGGACCTTTTGGGCAGGTGTGAATACAGCAATCGAACTCGGGTGCGGACCAAACAACCGAACCGAGACCCAGCTGAAGAGGTGGTCTCGGTACGGTTCCAAACGAACTCTGGTACGGTTCGTTTACGGTGTGAACATGAACCGACCCAAATGCAAGAAAGCACTGCGTCGAAAGAGAATATTGCGCGTCTTTCTCCGCGTCGTGTGTGAATATCTAATCGCGCAAAGATGCAAAAAAAAAAATCATTTGCAGTTCATAAAGCATTTGCAGTTCACCACCTTTTGGTGGTGGTTGACGAGTTTCCCCCTTAAAGCGAGTGCCGAGAAAAATTCTATAATATAAATGTAATGAATTATTATTATTAATGTAAGGATAGTTACAATACAAGGATGATGATGCGTTAATTTACGTTAAACTGGACAAACTTAAACGCAAGCGTTAACATTGACAGCACTTGTTAGTACACAATAAGAATCTCATTATTTGAATGAGTGAACATAGCCCCTCTCTATGAATGAAAACTTTATACCTTCTCCGTCTTCTGTGCAGTGCCACTTGTAACGCAAAGTTGAGATGTTGCCCAGAGATAAAAAAAACCAGAAGGTGGTCGAATGAAAAGATGCACGAGAGACGAGAGTTGTCGTATTTCCCCGCGTTTATAGAGCCACTCAAACGTTACACTCGTCGTCTTCTCAAAATCCGAATTACAACTTCGTATAGATGACATTGTATCATATGATACTCATTAGTTACTTAATATTGCGTTTGTACAGAATTAACACAAAATTAGTAAAAGAACAAATATTGCAGTATGAAATATATGGAAATATCTCCATGCTGAGCCTTTTTTGCACTTCCTGATTTCCCTTGAGAATCCTTGTCCAATGAATGGACGACCTTAGCACACGTGTGGTTTGGTTTACAAATTTTGGTTCACTTGCAAAAAGAGCAGTGTGAAAGCGAACCGTACCAAAAAAATAATAATACTAATTTATTTGGTCCGGACCAATGTATAATTTGTCCAAGGACATTTTAATATGGCATTTACTGTTTTACTAATTAACTTTGTTGAACTATGCTGGAGTAAAGTTCATAAATGGTTGTTCTTTCCTATAGGAATTTGTAAAACTATGTTGGGTGGACCCTTAATTTAGCATTTACAGTTTTACTGATTTACTGATCCTCTAGGGGGGTTCGGGGGCATGCTCCCTCGCTAGATAATTTTGTACATTTTAAGGTTAAATGCATCAATCTCGTGCTCTTTGAGAGATCAAAATTAAGAGCTTCAACCCATGAACTGCTCGTTGAACAAAGAAAAAGCATTGATTTGTACCAGGACAATAAAGAGGGCTCAAACCTCTTTTTAGTTGAGTTTCAGTCTACATTACATTATCAATGGTGTTTTAGGATCCCAAACAATTATTATAATAATTTAATAAGGATTTATATAATTATTAAAATGACGTGAAATCCATAAATGTACTATATAAATGAAAATGAATATTTCAAAAGTATATTTTAGTCAACATTACACTATAATTTTAGGAAAATTTAAATACTTTTGTCCTTATTTCTTCACTTGCAAGAAATAAACCCTTGAGCTTTTATTTAGGAGAAAAGGCCATCCTGATCGCGTGAGCAAAGTGCACACTTTTCTTTAATTCACCCAGCACTGATGCCTATTCTTAAAGTCTTGTGCTGTTTTATAAACGCAAAAAGCCATGTCATGGTTTCGA